TGATTCGAATCACATCTGGTAATTATCTCGACGCAAAAATAAACAAACTCCTTTCTCTTTTAGATTTAAATCGAGATAAACAAATTAAAGACTATATATTTCTCTCTTTTAATAGAACATTTGATATTTTGTATAGTTTTAATATTTTTTTATTTATTTATTCAGTGCATTGAGCACACTATTCAAAACATATTACAATATATTTGGCGGACTGGACCATGCGACCTACCAGTCAACCATAGGTGGTGGAGAGAATAATTGTTGGCAGTGCAAATAATAACATTATTTAATTTTTTATTTCATTTTACATTATTTATTTATTTATTAAAGGAAAACCAAGGCTATGCAAGTACATCTTAAATAAAATCAATATATACGTCATAATAAGCCACTGACATGCTTTCACTAATAATAGTAGACTAATTCTTAAAAAATTTACATCACTACGTATAAAGGCAACAACACATTATAAAGTTAACAGAGAATATTAAATTAATTATTAAATTATAATTAATTATTTATCTATCTATATATTAATTTGTTTCACATAAACTTTGTACACCTTTTAACGATGTTTGCTTAAAGGAAGGAGTTTGATCAAATCAAATCAAAGATCTCGCACACTTATAATTTATATAGAGAAGGACTAGAGAATGCTAATATTATTTTAAATAATGCATAAAAATACATTAAATCTATACATATAAATGAAATTGGAGTGTCTGTTTGTAATATTGAAATAACCGTTTTTTACTACATGCATATGAATATAAATACGGTACATACACCAAAATAACATTTTTTACAAATTTTGTCTGTCTGTCTGTTTGTTCCGGCTAATCTCTGAAATGGCTGGACCGATTTTGACGAGACTTATTAGGCTACTTTTATTTTAGAAAAATGTTATTATTTTGGAAAAATAAAGTTAAATTCCACGCGGATGAACTTGCGGGTACAGTTAGTCAATAATTAAAACAGTACACATACTACCATATAATAAATATCTTCAGACATATCTAGTGGCGGATACCGTGTGTGTCAGTACATTTATTGTTAAGAATATGTTCTCACAGCCTCGTATCCGCGGGGGCAGCCATTCTGTGCTTTGTTATGGGATGACTCACTATACTCGGGTTTTTAATTTAAAAAATTTAATCCCTGTTACATTGACTTTGATTACCTCGATGGCTTAGCGGTTTAGACTGTCTAGTTGCGGGTTTGATACTTGTACGGTACAAACATTTGTATTCATGAGTATGATTGTTTATATATATAAAAGAGTGAAAAATTAAGGTTGTATGTATTTTTAAAGCAAAATTATTAACAAAAAGTTGTCCAATAAATAAAAATAATATGTTAGGACTGAACAAAGGGTTGTTCGCCCCTAACATTTTATTGTACACCCCTAATTAGTTTTATTTTTGGATAATTTTTTATTACTTAGTTGAAAAAAAATTTGTTATAAACCTATTCTCAGACCTATTGAATATACATATATAAAATTTCATCAAAATCGATCAAGCCGTTTCGTGTTTCGGAGGAGAAACACGAAACCTGTGACACTACAATTTCATATAAATTAATAACGCTATAAAAAATAGGGGTTGATGATAGAAGGTTGAAAATTTAGTATTGTATGTATTTTTGTATGTTGTATCATAAAAAGATAGAAACTAAAAATTTTGTCTTAAAAATAAAATAAAAAAATTAGGGGTGGACTACCCCTAATATTTAGGGAGATGAAAAATCGATTCTCACACCTATTCAATACGCTCACAAAATTTCATGAATATCGGTCAAGCTGTTTCGGAGGAGTATGGGAACGAAAACTGTGACACGAGAATTTTATATATAAGATTAGGTGTAAAGCTAGTATTATGTGAAGATTATCATACATTTTATAGTTTTTATGGAATACAAATGTTTGTACGGCATATTTTTAAACTGATGACCCTTTCACTGGCCACCGACCATCTAAAAATGTACATCTATTTAACGTATACATCATTTGAATATGTGAACAAAAGGCTTCCTGTGGGAGCGGCAGCAATGAGAAACGTACTGTCGGGACGTTGGTTACCACAGATCTACTAAACTAATTTGTAATTTTGCGCGGCAGTTATATTAAAATGCTTTTTGATAAAAAATTAAGATGTAGAAAATAATATTGACTAGTAATAAAGATTTCGAAATAAATAAGTACCAGAAGATATATTTAGCTCTTCGCCCCGGCTTCGCACGGGTTTATATGTATATAAACCTTTCTCTAGAATCACTCTATCTATTTAAAAAAACTACTCCTAAATCCGTTGCGTAGTTTTCAAGATTTAAGCATACAGCATTTAAGCATAGGGCGGACAGACAGCGACAGCGACTTTGTTTTATACTATGTAATGGTAATCGAACCCGCGACCTTCACATGTTGAGGCAATGTGTTAAACCTTACTTTTGAATCACTCTATTACTAAGAACTGCATTAAAATCCGTTGCATAATTTAAAAGATAAGTGAACAGACAACGGAAGTGTCTTCATTTTATACTATGTAACGATTAGAGCAGTTTTAGGCAATAATTTTACATTATATGCAGTTAAAAAAAAATACAGTGTATTTTTTTTATGGATGATAATGGAATGGTGAATCCGCCTGCGCTAACGGTTTACGCTGGCGGGGCACCAGTGGAGGATGATAAGATGAACATGAGGTCAGGTTAGTTAGCCCATCGTGACAACCTCACCACGAACTTATCACGATGGTTTCCAGGGGAACCGCGTGGAGGTCAACCTGACATGGTACATTGCTAGTAATGGGGTCATGAGCCCACATTACTAACAATCTCCCAATACAGTGTATTAGAAAACGTAGTGTAGGACGCCCTGCAGCTAGGTGGAGCGACGACATTGGTAGGGCTGCGGGTAATTACTGGAAGAGAAGGGCTGAAGATCGTGCCCTGTGGCATGACTTGGGAGAGGCCTATGTCCATCCGTGGACTGCAATGAGTTGATGATGATGATGACGATTATTGTGGTGGTGGTGATGATGACGTTGATGACGGTGATGATGATGATGACATTTAAAATGCCACCTCCAATAATATTTCTATTCAATGTATTTAATATAGAAAACAATACAAAGCACGAGCTCGGAAAATAGAAGATTTTGTTTAAATAATAGATACACATTTTATTTGCAAAACGGAAGCCCGTTCTGATTTATGTTGCTTAGATTATGTAATGTGCGCACAACTCAGGAACGTTGTATGGTTTTTGCAAAATTATGGGTCAGTTGGAGATTAAATTATTTCGTAGATCTTTTATCAACCGACTTGTTTAATTTATCTACATCTAAATAATTGAAGGCAATGAGAATGCCGACCATCTGGCAAAGTTAGGGGCAAAAACCGTCCAACTGGGCCCCGAACCCTTCTGTGGTGTGCCTCGTTGCCTAAAACTGGGACATCTCAAATTAATAACCAAACGAGAAGCACTGAATCACTGGCAAGAAATGCCAGGATTCTTCACCAAATACTCCAATAGATTACTGCTATTGAGTAAAAACAACATATGCATGATGACTAGGGCCCTCACAGGACACTGCAAATTGAACAAGCATATGGCTAAGCTAGGCCTATGCACGACAAGTATCTGCAGATTCTGCCAAACTGAAGAGGAAACGCCGCTTCACATCCTATGTGGTTGTAGCCCACTCATGCATAAACGAAATATCTCCTTTGGAAAGTTTACACTCTTTCCCGAGGAGATAAAAACGATCGCTCCTAAGAATATCCTTCAATTCTTGTCCCTGACGGGTCTAGGTAGCGAACTCTGAAAAGGGCGAGCACAATAGATCTATGTAGGTCGCAGTGCTACAGGTGCTACACATCTGACAATAGCCCAAACAACCCAATAAAAAAAAAATACATCTAAATATATATAACTCAAAGGTGATTGACATAGTGATCTATCAATGCACAGCCCAAACCACTGGACGGAACGGGGTGAACTATGACATGCAGGTAGATGTTATGACGTAGGCATCCAGTAAGATTAATTCTACCCCCATGGGGATAAAATAGGGGATGAAAGTTTGTATGAAACTTTGTCAATTTAAACCGATCGGGCTGAGACTTTGCATGCATAAAGCTACTATGACGTAGGCATCTCCTACGAAATTGTGATAAATTCCACCCCTAAGGGGATAAATTAACCCGAGCGAAGCTGCGGACAAAAGCTAGTGAATAATATGGCTATTCATTCGAAAGAACGTTTATTTGTATGCGTTCTCTGCTTAATAGTTACCCGATGAACTGTTTATCATTATTTACCTGAGTATTATTAGGATGAAGAGGTCTAGCTGAATACGAGCCGAGTTTCTTGTCAGTTCTTCTCATTTCTTCTCTTCTCGAGCTGAGTTTCTTGTCAGTTCTTCTCATATCGAAATCATTCCGAACTGACGGTAGATTTGACATATCATGAGAGTCTGTATGTGTCTGTATATGTATGTATGTCTAGTCAATAGACCTACAGAATAAAGATATTTTGAATTTGAATTTGAATTTGGAGTTGCTGTCGAGAAGCTGGTTAATTTTAAAAAAGAAGGTGATTTTAATGTGTTTATTCTATGAATAATACTGCTATTCATTAGAGAGCATGTTTATTTGTTCTTTTAACAGTTAAACGATTCATGTACTGTTTATAGTGATTTAACTGAGTATTATAGGGATGAAGGCAGAAGGAGTAGATACTAGTTAATTTAAAAAAAAGTAGATTTATGTGTATGCTACGCAACATCTTTGGTAAATTTTATATTTTTAATTATTTTATATATTAGAGAATATATTCGAAATTATTTATATAATAAATGTTCCGTATTTTTTTTTTTTGACAACTTTATAATGCAACATATGCACATGCTAATAGAATATATTTATTCACTATGTTACTTGTACCGTTTTCTTATAATAATAGAAATATATTACAGCACATTTTATTTTTGTTACAGGAACAAAAATGTTGATGCAGCGTCAGAAATTCCGCAAAAGAATTCGGTGAGGCGAAACCAAACAAAACAAAGTTCGTATAACGATGTGACAATACAATGACAAACAATAAAGACGCTCCGTACATATAAAAAAAAACAACCAAAAATACTCCTCATGATTCTCCAAATTTAGTTTCATAAGCAGAATATTAAATAAGTGCCAACGATTAGTGCAAACACCGTATTAGAAAAGTTAAAAAAAAAGAAAAACAATCAGTCGAACTGCGCTCAGTGATTCCTCAACGAACAATCAAACGCAACGATTAAAAAAAAATCAATCAGTGCCACAAATTTATACTGCCAAGTGAAAAAGCTGTTAAAAGTAATAGCTGTTAAAAATAACTGTTATTTAACTGTTATATCGTTAAAAAGTGATGTGCTTTTGAGATGGATCTACACGCTCCCCCTTTAGTGGTTCATGGGTATGAACCCCATGCTCCCTTGTTGGAAGTCGAGGGTCTGGACCCTCACAGTCCTCAGCAGAAGGTCCTAATTCATGCCCCGACTTTACAAGGGCAGGAGCTGATGAGAAATGACCACCAGAATGGAGGTAAGTTGGTTTTTGTGTCTTGTGTCTTCTTCTTTCTTCTTTTTTCACTATTTTATGTGGAGGAAGTAAGGACACAGCTAGTTCTATCTATATATGTATATAGCTGTAAATTCAGTGTTTTAAATTGTATCCATTCATTATAAAAATAATCCATAAGTATATATAAAAAATCTCACTATTTCATTTATTCTGAGGTTTGGATTATTATCTAGATCGATCGACCGATCGATCGGTCGATCGGTCGATCGATCAAGTCAAGTCAAGAACTATTTTGATAAACTTTATGAAATTTAAAGATAGAATGATTCTTTTTTTACAATCTTTCTTTATCTATTAACATATATTATTGAAGATCGTTTAAAGAACTTTTAAATTCTTCCTCTTTCTTCATTTTTGCACTATTCTAATGCTGTTGCTCGCAACTGGCTTTTATAACCTCACCGGACGATAGGAGACGAGTTCAGGCATTCCAAACCCGCGGAAGGACTTATGGAGCGGCTGAAGGCCAACTCTCGCCTGACGGAACCCCTATCGGTGCCCTTAGACTACAGCTGTAGTCTGAAGGCACCGCTAGGGGTTCGAACCTCGGCTCAGGCCGTCATAATTTCAGTACCCGATTGAATTGGATGGAAGATCCATCGTAGAAGTTGTAAATAGTGTTGATAGCAAATAAATAGTGGCGATTATTATTAGTCTTTTTGTTTATTAATTATTTTCCCGTATTAAAACTGTGTTTTGTTCCCTAAATGATGTAAGCTCTGTCTGGAAAACTATTCCAGACAAAGATTAAATCACTTTTTTATTAGAATAGAATAGAATAAAAGAAAATATATTTATATGAGAATATATAATAACATTAGAATAGAATAGAAGAATATATATGAATAATATATTTCCTTCTCTACCTCCCAGTGAGGGTCGGCGGTGGGACCTCCAGATCCCATTCCTAACAATACATCATAACACCAAGGACAATAATCCCATACACACAATTCCCCCACAATGTATGAGTTGAGAGCAGATGTGTCTGATCTGATGTAGAGTATGACTTTGCAGATGAGCAGTACCACGCGCACAGCAGCAACCAGAGCAGCGATGGTGAGTGACACACGATTTTGAACCTTATATCTAACTAGCTTATGATGTAATTACGATTTTAAATTATGTATGTATCTTGATTATAAAGTAATTTTGTATATGCCACACGATTTTGAACCGTATATGTAACAAGATTCTAATGTAATCATTACATAGTATAAAATAAAGTCGCTGTCGTTGTCTGTCCGTCCCTATGTATGCTTAAATCTTTAAAACTACGCAACGGATTTTGAAACGGTTTGTTTTATAGATAGAGTGATTCTAGAGGAAGGTTTTTATATATAATACATGTACACCCGTGCGAAACCGGGGCAAAGTGCTAGTTTTCTATAAATCATAGATTTTTTACAATACCTCAAATGTTAGTATATATGTACAAAAGAGCGTAATGGTCTAACGACTCGCTACCTCTACTTACACCCAAAAGATAGTCACTTCAAATTTAGCCGACATGAAAGAAAACAAATTTTGTGTATCGAATTATATCTCTGACTGACTCTCCGGAGATGCAAATACCGATAACGAAAAATAATACAAGAGAAAAAATATTCTAATAAAAAAAATCATATTATTGCCTTATTCTAAGGCACGTATGTCTTTATTATCTAGAACGATCGTTTCTCAAGAACCATTTTCATTAACTTTATAAAATCTAAAGACAGAATGATTACTTTTTTACAATATTTATTTTTGACATAAATCTAAAAGATATAAAAGAAAACAAAACTCGAATTTCTTTTTAGATTCTTTTTGTAGTTTCTAAAACTTTCTAGTCAAAAAACTAGGCATAACTACTGGTCTTAGCGTGTAAGAGCCAAAACAGTCATTACCAAACACCGGTCCGCATATTGCATGCGAAAATACAATTATTTTACATGCGACCCACAGATGTATAATAATAAAAATATTAATTTTAACACAAAGTGTGTTAAAATTAATATTTTTATTTTTTACGCCATAAAGCGTAAAAAAACAGCAAATCCGTTGTCATCTAGTCCCACGGTAAGCAGAGCTTGTGTAATGGGTACTAGATAACTGATATAATACTTTTTTTTTGTAAATACTTGCATAATATACATAGAAAACAAGCAAACGTCACATTTCCAAATATTTTAATATTTATTTATATATGTCAGGGTGGTGTTGATATTAAGCTGCCTTCTTTTACAATGGTCGCAGGTTCAATTATTCATTTGGATTTATGTATCTTATTAATTTAATTATGAAGTCATAGTAAGATAAAACCAAAGTTCTTATATGTAGTATACAATATTAATTGTTATATTACAAAGAGAGCTACTCAAGTCAGGGTCGCAACAATTGACAACAAAAAATGCGACCCGCGAAATAAAAACTTGAGCACACCTTCATTAAAGAGTCAGGCAGGCGACAATTAAAATTATTCTTCTTTTTTTTTTTCAATGCACAAACACAAACAAACAGGCGTGGTGTTGTTACGCAGTTACGATGTTTGTGTGAAAGTAAGCGATACGTATAATTATTTATAAGGGTGTGGACCCTGTGACAGCGACTGGTCCGATTTCAGTATTTTTTATATATGGGAATAGTTTAGTTAAAGTGCTTGATGTACCGAAGTCTTTATATGGAATTCGAGCCATTTTAAGAGTAGAATAAAAATGAACTATCTTTACATAAAGACTTATGTAAACATAGTTCATAACAGGTACTTACTTTTAATTAAATTAATAATTATATTAATTAAAATGATAAGAACTTGTTTCTGTTCTATATGTAAATAATAAAAAGTCCTTTAATTTCCATTGATAATAAAAGTAAGGAAAATTAAATTAATTTTACTAATAAACCGACCAGACAGCTTTTCATATAATTATTTATATACATTATATTCATACAATTTTCTTGTTTAGAAAATCGTATGAATATAGTATATATATATTGACATATATACAAGTAAAACGATTAAAGATTGTAATGCAGATTTATCAATAGAATAGTAATTCAAGAGAAAGGTTTATATGTATAATACATGTATACCCGTGTGAAGACGGGGCGGATAGCTAGTGAATAATAAAAAATATGTAAGTGAATAATTAAAATTTAATTTTATATTGACATAAATATAATAAGGTGTATAGCCGCTAACACTGCGACCCCGCGCCGGCGCCGAGCGACCCAAAGTGTCAGCCGCTCCAACTAATTTCACACCGATTTAGTCAAGTGTACACGCACAAAAAACGTCCATTCACCGGGTGGCTACTCGACGGTGTGAGCGGCGGACGCGGGACGTGGTCGGCTAGTGAAATTTTTGAATGAATCGATTTATTACACTCCATTCGAAATTTAAAATCCTATTCGATAACTAATGAAATTCAACCTAATAATTTAAGTATAAAGGTTGAAATTTAAACGTACACAATTAAGAGAGCACAGTGTATGATCTGTGAATGTTCACTGTTTTCGTGATATTTAGAAATGATTCCAAATATGAAATCCCTTATGATAGATAATGAAATTTAACCTAATGTCATTGAAGTTAAGGTTTAAATTTAAACTTAGATATTCTAATTTGAGAGAATAGTGTTTGAATTTATATTTGTATTTTTATAAGTACTGATATTTTTAAAATGACAGCGACATTTACGGCACTAGAAAGACATAAATGGCCATGATTTTTTTATGTAAATGGCAACCAAGCCAATTGGCCACATGATGGTAAGTGGTAACCGTCGTCTGTATACATGAATAGCAACACCAACTCCCGTCATCTTCTACCAGTACTATTATGCGTTGCTATTTCATCTAATAAGTATATGTACTCTGTACCCTATAATTTATCTGCTTTATGTGGCATCACTATTAAATTCAGTGTACCTACAACAAATTTCTGAACATTTTTTAAATCAATAATACAGCAAATTAAACATAGCAATATTCCTCCAGCAAACAGTTTTTTTTTTTCATTTTTTTTTTTAAACAAAACATTTGTATTAATTCACTGAAGAAGCAATAACATTCATAGAAGTGTAAAACTGTTTTAAAATTGACTCGGTCATTATTTATAAGTATAATTAGTCAAAACCGGGATGCTGCTCTTCAGTTTACCCGTGATCATGGTCGTTGAAACACTGCCGAAATTATCGGGACCTCAATAAAAATAACGTGGTAAGATCTCGTGATTTTTATCTAAATATATAATTCGTATGTATAAAAGTGTGTTGCGAATATCGATGCTTTCCATCGAGTTTATATAATTATATCGCTTAGTTTGATGTCATTTTGTCATTTGATACCACCGCTTTACGTCCGATGGTCGCGGGTTCGATTCCTCGCACGGCAAAACATTTGTATTCATGAGTATGATTGTTTATATCGGTCTGGGTATTTTCTATGTATAATATAACGAAAAAAAAAAATCTATGTACTTGTATCACGTCCGATGGTCGCGGGTTCGATTCCTCGCACGGCAAAACATTTGTATTCATGAGTATGATTGTTTGTATTGGTCTGGGTGTTTTCTATGTATAATATAACGAAAAAAAATCTATGTACTTGTATCACGTCCGATGGTCGCGGGTTCGATTCCTCGCACGGCAAAACATTTGTATTCATGAGTATGATTGTTTGTATCCGTCTGGGTATTTTCTCTGTATAATATGTATTTACAAAAAAATATATATATATATGTACTTGTATCAGTTATCTAACCCGTAACTTAAATTGGGACTAGATGGCGCTGTGTGAATTGTCCTGAGATTATTATTATTATATAAATAAATAAATCCAAAAATACATGCTATGACGTTTGTCTAACAACATTTATAATACTATTATTAACTATGAAGTTTCTTATATAGCCATCTAGTCGCAAGTTAAGTATAAGTAGAGCTTGTGTTGGAACAGTAAAATACTAGTACATCTTTTTTTTTTTTTACATCTAGTACATCTGAACACAATGTACCCGCGCTGCGACCAGGGCACGACCGTCACGCGCTACGAAAGCGAAACTCGACAAAAAAACTGCCTCCGTAACAACTTACCACGTCCATTTTGTTTACTGGACAATACAGAATATGTACTAGTTATATTATGCAGAGTCAAATTTCAAATTCAAAATATCTTTATTCATGTAGGTCTATTACAGACTCTTATGATATGTCAAATCTACCATCAGTTCGGAATGATATCGAGATGAGAAGAACTGACAAGAAACTCAGCTCGTATTTTTTTTCAAATAATAGTGGAACATGTTTATGATAAATACAGTTATTAAAATTCAAATTTGGGAGAATAGAGTGACCACCAGCATATGCTGAGTACTCCTATTAGGCAGAGTGCGGGCGAGTTCCAACAGTGTCCTGAAGACAATTGCTTGTAAAGTAGACTGTCCCATTCTAAGACACTGGGTGGGACAGGTAATATGTTAAAAATTACATTTTTATTTTATTATATATTTTATTACTAACATAGGATAAGTTATGTCATTAAGCTGTTACTAACACAATGGATCATGTTGTCTGAAATAAAAAAAAATTATTATTATTATTATTATTATATTCATAATCGTGATACAAACTATTAAAAGTTATCCTTTGTAAATTATAAATGCGAATGATTCTAAGTATGGATGTTTGTTACTCATTCACGCAAAAACTACTGAACTGACTTTGATGGAACTTTACTTTATCTGTACTTCTGATGTATGCGCTATAGTAATATAGCGTATACATAAATAAATAAACGTTGAATGTTTGTGAGTGAGGGAACAAAATGCACACTTAGATACATAGAATAGCAGATCCCGCGACTTCGTCCGCGTGGAATTTAACTTTATTTTTCTAAAATAAAAGTAGCCTAAAGAACTAAAACTTATTCACTTTATCCGTTCCATTGGGTACTAATAGGTTTAAACTAATACATTTACATCCTGCATCATCCCTTATTTTATCCCCATGGGGGTTGAATTTATCAAAATCCTATTTAAGCGAACGTCTTCATCATAATAGCTCCAATCTTTAATT